TGATTTTAAAGCAATCATGGAGATTTCTATCGCCGAAAGTGCAACCCAGACGATCATATAAGGTGAGGCAATTTTTTGCTTTCGTTGAGCCTAGCCTTATAGAAACTTCATGTATAAAATATACGTCACAACTATCCTCAGCCGTCTAATTTAAATGGGAAATTTGTTAACTTTCGATCATAATGTCATGCCTAAGAATATTTTGGTTTTTTGTTATTTTTAAAAAAGTATTTTGACATAAATTTTGGGGTATAATAACTTCTTATATGTGTTTAACTAATAATAATAAAAAAATGTTTCTGATGGCGTTGCAAGATATGGATGTATTTTGGTTATTTATTATTATCAGAAATTGTTCTTAATTTATTAGGTGTGCACCTATTAGGGGTGGCAATGGGTTGGGTTTGACTGGACCCGAATCTAGACCTGAAAGTATTCGGGTCCAAAAATTGGACCCATACCCATACCCATACCCATCAGGTCCTGGGTCTATTCCCTCGGTTCTCGGATCCCTTGCCACCCTCACTATGAGCTTTTTTTTGTTTTATTTTGTTCTTTATTTACTATCACTTGCCATTAGATTTCAAGCCCTCTAATTTGTCATTTAATAACTAACAAGCTGTCTAATTTGTCATTTAATAGCTAACGATAGCTACGAGTCTTATTGTATACGATCCTTAACACACCCAAACAAATATGGCTTAAAGTATTTTATCTCCAACAATTTACGGGTACGGGTCGGTGGATCCAAACCCGGACCTTGACCCAAACCCGAATAGTGTTTGGGTCCAGGTTTTGGGCACGGAGCTAACCCCCCGGGTCCAAATGTTAGACCCATACCTAGACCAGTGTCGGGTGTACCCGGCGGGTCTGGGTCGGGTCCTGGTCTAGGTCCGATGCCACCCCTAGTACCTATGGCAAGTAAGGATGCCCAAAATTGTATGTCAAACTGATTATGTTTGTAGGGTAATCGAACCTTCTACAAAATAATTTATAAAATAAAAATTAAAAATTAAAGATTAAATACAATAGGCACTATAAGCCGTCCGTTCAGTGTGACTAAATCTATCCATCTAATTAAAATAAGGAAGACCTTGTGAGACCCTGCCACACTTAGTGGCGTAGGACCTCTAATCTAGGCCGTTAGATCAAATCTGAAGGAGAGATTGAGGGGCTACTGGCTAACCTGTTAAGAAAGTCAAAGGGTTAACGCCTCCCTGTCTCTCTCTTAAAACTCCCACCCTCTTTTTTCTCTCTAAATATACTCTCTCCTCTCTCTCTTTAAAACTAGGTATGTGGAAAACCTTAATGTCTAATGAGGAAAATTAAGACACCATTCCTGACTTGCAAATCCTCGCTTTTATCTGCCATAGAACCTCTCACAAAGCAATCCCACCATTGTTATACGCAAAGGTTCTCTTATGTTGACGTCGAAATAGAAAAAATACTATTATTTAGACTCTCTTTCTCTATTGGATAAAATCTATGACATCGAAGCAATATTCACTATGAAAGACTCTATCATAAAAGAATCAGACTTTTGCATCCCAATCCCTTGAATTTCAAAAAAGATCTATGAATTAGGAATATGCAACAAAACCCAACTTTGAATTAGTTATACCCAAGAAAATGCTTCCTTCACAAATAATCGAAGGTATGATGTGGTATTTGGGTTTACCAAGGATTATTTAAAGGTTTTAGAGATTACTTCTAATAGGGTTTTTTCTCTCTATAATATGGAAGATGGGAAATATGGTCTGAGCTTCAATTGTGAAATACTGGAGGTACCCATATCTTTATTCAACAAAAATCTATGTGAGAAGGGAGTTACAGAGAAGGTAGGCGATTGCTATCTCTCTCTACTCTTTAAAAGGGGTTCGATTAAAGCAAAAAATCAAAGATTGGGTTGAAGAATTGTAGAAGCTTCCCAATATATCCATATGAAGACTCTTGTGATTTGAATCCAAACAGTGATAATTCAGAGAAGAGAGTTGTTGGGATTTTACGTGAATTGTCGTCGAAGTTCGAGCTCTCTCTCTATATTACCATGAAATATGGCCTCTTTCATTTTTCTTATAGTCCAAAGTCTGAGCTGTCTCTTTGCTGCAGTGAAATTTGGAGGTGAGAGGGGGGAGGAGGAAGGGAGAGCGAGAGAGGGGATTTTTTCCATGTCGAAGAGAGAGATTGCGAATGAGAGGGATAAAGGGAAAAAAAGTAAATCATGCTTAGAGAGCACGAATAAGGGGGAGAATACGAAAAGAGAGTACGATTGAAGGGAGAGAGAGCCGGTGACATTTAAAACTTACCTCGATATTTGGATTCGATCCAATGGTGATCTATTAGGGTCCTATATCATTGTGTATAGCAGGGTCCATAGAATCAATACTCTTCAAAATAACCATTTAAATAAGAAGACCAAAAATAGCAATATGTTTTGTACGTAACTGCCTTGGAACCATACGCGCCCCTCAAATGCTTTTTAAAATACTTGCATGAACGGTTTTATTTTTTTGTCTATAACAGAAACGAGGCGTTATTTGTAAAAGGGTGCGGTTTTTGTCAGACTTAGGTCCTAAACAATCAAAATAAGGCTCATCCTCAAATAGTGTCCAAAGATGTTGTTTCATTTATCAAAAATATTTTTGATGGCTTGAAAATTTATTTATAAAGTTTAAAGCTTCAAAAATATTTTTGATGGCCTGAAAATTTATTTTTATCTCTAACTGTAAAGTTTAAAGCTTCAAAAATAGTGTAGATCAAGGACATTTATGAACACTTGAAAATCTTGAAAATTGGCGGTCTAGATAATGTATTACAAGATGCACTATTCTAAGGCTTGAAGTCCATTTTTTTTATGTCTATGTATCTTAAGGTCGAGATGATCAGAATTGAGGGTTTTTCAACATCGAAAAAACTTTTTCTATTGAATTTTTAAGGAGCGCCTTAAGTTTATTGTTTAGGGCCCTAACCTTATATAAACTTTTTCTTTTGTATAATAAATATTGAAACTGACCTCATAACTTTATAATAATTTTCTAAAGAGGCAGTTTGGAATTTCCAATATAATTGTCTGGGCTGGGGTCAGGCCTAAGGCGGCTTTGCCACGGACCCACCATGATTGTGTTTGTTTTTGTTTTTTTGAGGAGGGAGTTAAGCAGTAGAAATCAAACTTGAAAAAGCTCTAGGACCGTCCTTGCCTTGTGGGCCTAAACTGGTCCAAACCCCATCAGGCCTGTCAGGTTGGGCCCGACGGAGCCCAATTATACCACATAGGACATATATTGCCCCACTAAATGTGTGGTGTGTATTACTGGGACAATCATGATAAAAGCAGGTGAACAACTCAAATATGTCACCTCTCAAATTCATTAGTTAATAAAGCAATCAACAGATAGGACGCGTACAATAAGCTGAAGTAGTCAAAATCAAATACATTATTCAACGCTATAGATAAGAACAAGATGAACCATTAGCCCTAAGTCCTTGTTTTTTTTGAAAATGTAAAACATTAGCCATTAGTCAAGTAAATAAAATTCAAACTTGAAAGTGAGCTTAAGTCGTCATTGGAATGGAAAAATGTTTGTAAAAATCTATTTTTTTTTCCAAGTTCGGTGAATTTGGTCTACAAAAGGAGCTGACGGCTCTCTCAATGCAAAGCGCATAACAAAAATAGGCTCAAGGCTAGATGGTCAGGATGGTGGATTACCACAACATTAAGCGGTCAGGATGGTAAGGTTACCACGCAACGCTCTATTCCTACTACAAGCAAAAAACCCTACCCCCACTTAACTACTAAAAAAAAAAAATTAAAAAAATAAAAGAAAAATACAGAGCTGTTGATAAATAGTTGGACATGTTAATCCCTTTTGATCATGTTATGTTATTATGTTTGCCTCTATATCCCCATAAATTATAGCATCTATTGATTGATTAATTTATCCACGTCCACATAAAAGCCTTGGAGCTGTACTATTTATTTCCTTTTGTCCACCAATAATACTAAGGGTTACCCTTCCCTTCCATATGTATCATTGATTTAAGAATTGGACGGGTTGGTCCAGTCACCAACTGGTTCAAAGCTTGAGCATAATTGCCCAAGCCGAAATTGATTCTAAGCCGAATGAAGTGATTTTAAAATTTTCTAAATATTATAATAAAATATGGAAAAAAATTCTCTGTACATACAAAATGCGTGAACTCGAAAGAAAACAGACTATTCAAACTCTCCAACTGGAGCACTATAATCCCATAATGTACAAGAACCAAACGTCCAGGTGCTCAAGAACTTAAAACCTTTTTTTTTTTTTTGGAAAATAGTCATATGATGCACCTAGATGGATCCCAAAATCTATGATAAAAAAAATCCTTCCAAGTTTCTCTTTTGCCGGAGGGAGTTGTTGTACAATATGCTCCTGCAAAGGACATTGCTCTACGTGCTCATAGGAAACCATCTATACTTGTATAAAATTATATATAACAGCCTCTAAACAAAGTTAAAGAAAAAACAGGTTTCAATAACCGAAGAAACTCTCTGTAATATAAGAATTGAATGTTATGCGACCATTTATTTTTGGTACAAGGAGGTCGTACACTTATTTTTAGGTATTGGATATCAAATCCAATAGACAAAAGTTTGGCATACAAGGAGGTCACACACTTATTTTTAGGCAGTGGATATGAAATCCAATACATGAAAGTGTAGCACAATATTCGAAAAATTTTATTTTGAACTTTGTGCCGAGGCAATAATACATCCTCAAAGATGATTGTGAATTCATTGTATCAAAAGTAAATGATTGCATTATCCGAACTATTTTTTGAGTTTCAAAGTTTGTAGTCAATGTTGAAAATTGATTTTAAAATACGATGAAGATTTCCAATGCCCAAAGTGCTTTCGAGGTGAGGAAACAAGGTGGGACTTTTTATTGTTTCGGTAGGCCTAATAGAAATTGTATCCATTTTCTAATGTAGTAAAAATAATGAGAATGTGTGAATCTGACCTGTTTCGAAGACGAGACCACTGAAAGCTGTGCACCCAGGACCACCAGTGAGCCAAAGGAGGAGGGGATCTTTTGTTGGGTTATTCTCAGACTTGATAAAGTAGTAGAACAGTCTATATTCATTCACCTCATCTACACTAATATACCTGCATAAATAACATTTCCAATTATTATATGCACACACTGCGTCTCACTCCAAAAAAACTAGGCAAAAAATAGAGATAAGCACCAACTTGTGGAAAAAGAATCATAAATTAAGTATAGGGTATGATTTGTAGAAGGTTGCAACGTTAGATGGATTTTTGAGGTGCATTTTTAATTCTACATTTTAAGGTTCTAATTTTATATATAAACTTTTTCTTTTTAAGTATAAGATGGTTAGAGAGCGAGAGATGTATTGAAATATGTCCGAAAATCTATAGTTACAGTTTGCAGGTGTATTGAAGATAAAAGAAGGGCAGCTGGAGGGTCAAGTTTGAATCGCTTAACTCCGAGTACTTTGGCCAAATCGATTTTCTATACATGAGATATAAGGATGATTAAATATCTTTCTCTTACCCGGAGAAGAAATCGAGTGGGAGGGGCCCTTCAAAGCCAGGAAGAAACTCCACTCTTGCCGAAAAATCTGCTACGATGCAATCTGAGATAGACAGGGAGCTACCCACCCACACCAAAAGTAGTAAGAGGGCAATGTCATGGTAGAACACAGGCTTTCTCCCTTCCATTGTCCTCTCTCTCGCGCTCTAGCTTGCACGATTTCGACTGTGTGCAATCTCTCTCTGATTTGCAGGTTTGGCTATGAACAATACAAATCTCTCCAAAATGGATTATAAATAATAAAAATTTCCCTCTCCTTTTGGCTCTTGCTGGTTAGTGTCCACATCAATTTCGCTCCAGCTCTGTTTTTTGCGGGTTAGATTACCTATAAAAATGAGGCAAAAGAAATTTTAGTTATGCGGGAGTAGCATGTTTATTTACTCCCTAGTGTAAAAGCCCACCTAGAGTACATTTTAGGACTTCAAATTTTAAGGATCAATTTTAGGACTTCAAAATTTAAGGATCAATTTTAGGACTTCATAGATTACCCTCAATAAAAAGTTATCTTAAGGGTACCATCCATCGCATGAAAAAAAAAATAACGTCTCGAGATTGAATAGAGACTCGTCCAAGTTTGTAGATGGTGAGATCTAAGTGTTAGAAAACTCAAAATTTAAATTTTTTTTTTTTTTTAAGAAAAATCACCTAATAATTTTAAAAGAAATTTATGTACGGACCAAATTATTGATCCATTATAATGAAATAGCCAAATAAGGAGCCATTATTACCAAGAAGGATGGAATCCTTATTTTCTTTTGACAAGTTTGCCCCTGGTCCGATGTTGTAAACATCGGACCGCCAATCATTCATTTTTTTTTATAAATCAAGCGGTCCGATGTTTCTAGCATTAGACCGCAAATTGTTTAATTTTTTTTTTCAATTTTGTATCTCAGCAACTCTATTTTCAACCAGTGTGTTTAAATACTATGGTCGAGGACATCTGATTTGTTTTGTTGGATTGAATTCGAGTTCCATGGAAACCAAGGAAAGAAGCCAATGGACTTTATCTCATTCATGAAAAATGAAATGCAAGCTTGATGTGAATGCAAACCCAATGACATAGGATAATCTAGGGGCACATATTGGTTTATTTGGGATATGGCATGTTGCTTGATTTGGGAAAAATAAAATCTTAACCAGTTCAATGTTAAAACATCGGACCGTTTGATTTGGTAAAAAAATTGAACCGCTTGATTTGTAAAAAAAAAAAATTAAACAATTGGCGATATAGTAAAATAAAATATAAAATAGATTCCATCCTTTTTGATAATAACGGCCCATTTTTGGGCCATTTCTTTATAACGGATCAATAATCTGGTCCGTCCGTAAATTTCCCTAATTATAATGTGGTTCCCAAAATTTCAGATTGAAAAATCCCCTCATATAAGTCTTCTAACACAAGAAATAAAAGTAGGGAAAGTATAGAATGAGACCATTTATCTTTGATACAAGGTGGTCACATTAATCTTAATCATTAGATGTGAAATTGGGTTACTGCAATTATTCTATTGACCAAGCTCAAACTTCGAAATAACTTTTTTTTAACTTTGTGACCTGTCCAAATTATCAAATTTCACGTCAGAATTGTGACCACCCTGTATCAAAGATAAATGATGTCATTATGTACAATCCCATAAAAGTATTACACACTCAAGAAGCCAAAAGATATTATGATAGTAAATTCTTTGTTCTTTGTATTTATAAGCACGGTTTCCACGTTCGACCATATGTCAGAAAATAAATATACGGAAGTTCAACGATGCAAATTGATGGTGATGCTTGCTATAGGCGGTGGTTTAGAATCCCGATTAAGAGGTTCATTTCGAATCGCTTATCTAGGTTGGATCAGCTTTTGGGTGAGAATTAGTCTAAAAGTTTTTTAAATATTATTTTTTATTTTAAATTTTAAAAATTCAAACTTAAAACATAAATAGATGAAAATCGGGTGATTATGCCAGTCCGAATCGTTCGGTGACCTACCAGGTTCACCTATTTCTTTGATAAAATGAGGTAAGTCTATCAAATCGGACCCAATTCTGGGGCCAGACTAAAACCGGATTGGTCCCCACTCATTCATGACTTGGGAGTCATCGCAATCAGCTCGGAATTTGGTCCCTGGTAATTTCAGAGGAGGAATTCAAAAATAGGCCAGTCTCCCATGTCCATGTTTGGGTAAACAAGTCCATGTTTTGAATTAAGTGGTTTATCGTAAATCAAAAGGGACCAAAGTCATCGCAATCCGCTCGGAGTTGGGGCATGCAAGTCCATGTTTTGAAGTACGTGGTTTTATCAAAGGGGAGCAATTTCATTCTAGGGTTGTATAGTAATAAAATAAAACAATCTTGAAAAATCATGTTAGGACCATTTGTTTGACCCAAATTTTAAAATATACACTTTTTTCATTCTAATGAACAATTACAAAACACAAAAATTTGAAAACACAACCTAAAAAGTACATTTTTAGCTCGATTAACGTAAGCTATCTGTTTGGGTGAGATGTGTGGATCTAAACTTCAGAAGGATCTTTTTTCTTCCTAAATTTTTTAGATAACTTTATTATCATTAGCTTAAAGTTAAAAAAAAAAATGTTGATTTTGAATTCATAAAAGCCTAGATCTTGAAATTCACCAAATGGACGGTCTAAATTCATTGTTGGAGGAGGCTCATTTTGACTATATATAGAGTGCAAATTATTATTATTATTATTTTAGATTGATTATTGAAATGGTCTTATTACCTAATGGAATGTTTATTAAGTCAGTTACTGCAGGACCAAAGTTTGTTAGCACCCAATAATAGGTACAACTCAACTCTCCAAAAGTTGGATCGAATGTGTAGTTAACATGAACTGGAGCCAAAGGATTGTCACTACAGGAAGAGACAATTGAATGCCGAAATATGCCAGCCAACCATGATAAGATCTAAAATGTAAAATGATGAGTTGTTGCTCCAATGTTTTTATATTATTTCAAATTAAATAGAATGGACCATTATTTGAATGAAAATCAATTTGTTTCATGTGGAGTACACAAGATCACTTCATGAATACATATCATACAAGCAATATCATGTTATTTGCCTTTGGAACTATAAGTCAAGTGAAGTGATGAAAATGACACAAGATCACTTCATGCAGGTATACTGATAATTTACAATGGCTCATGTGAGATCCACCTCCGTAACATTGCAAGACATTCTTTGGGCTTATACTCAGGAGCTGTGTGACCGGCTCCCTATAACCATAAAGTTTGGCATTAAAAGAAAAATACAAAAGAATACAAAGGCAAAAAAAATTCTGATCATTATTTCACAATATTAATGAGAAAATGCACTCAGGACACAGTGAAGAATTACACAAGTTACTCTTTAAAGGCTAGACTACCAAATAGAAATCATCGACATATACAATTTACAATCCATCACAAGTACAAATGGCAGGGATTGCCACTCTTGTAGGAGGTGTTGGGTTTATGTGACCATTAAAGGCTTTCTGTGTATTGAAATACTTTGAAACATAAACTCAATGGAAGTGTGCTCCCTTGAAGACCATACTAAGCGAATGATGTTTGCTTATACCGGACTGTGCTTATCAATCTAAGCCAGTCGGCTGGAAAACCCTAAGTACCTGGGCATAAATAATTAACCGAGGAGGGTTTTGGATTAGCCCTTGATGGGATCGGAGCTTATGCCTAGCTGAGAGAGCCGAAGGACTGTGTGACGCTTGTATCTAATGGTAAGCTTATTGAGATGGGGGCCAAAACCTCATCCATATTCCATCACACAGCATGCATATTGATAGATCGTTCGGGAAAACCGGATATCCACCTTTGGGTAAAGCGTATGCATGTGCGAGAGATACCCCTATGCACCATAAAGCTATGGTCGCATCAAGTCGTGGTGACATGAACTCGTCTCTAGGGGAGGACCTGTAATCCATAGACTGGGATTGCGACCCCTTGATTCATCGACCTAACTTTGATGACCCGCTAATGAGCCCCTGCTTGGACTGTGGGTCATGGAAAACACTGGGTCAGTTCGATAAAGCTAGTGTGGTCTGTAGTCCACAGTTGAAGGTAGAGTACCCCATTATTTACAGATTGAATTCCTAAAGCCATATGGATCTTTTTCCCATCATATTAATTTAATTATGTTCATTTTATTATTGAAATTATTTAGTTTTATTATTTGAATTTTTGTGAATCTTTCAATATTTTATTTATATTTTTTTTGGACTTATAAAATACAGTTATTGATTTTACAAAGTTGTAAAATTCAAATACATATTAAAATTTTTTTATTAAATTTTAAAATATTTATAAAAATTCTAATGGGGGCCCAAAGTGTACATGGGCCCACCATGTGACATGTGGGTGGGGCCTACATGTGCCACAAAGGGGTGATACGCCCCATCCTTTGGATTCATCTTGTTTCTTTGTGATCAAGGTCTTTAAGATTATGGTAATTTTGATTTGAGGCATGTGGTCAAATCTTGGAAAGGATATAACAGCCATGGCATATTTTGTAATATGATAAGTATGCTTTAAAAGGGATATGGTCAATTTGAATAGATGATAAATATTGACCTTATCTTGTTTAAAATTTTTTGTAGTATTTATTTACTTGATAATGTTTGACATATCCTTATGGAATATGTGATATGATCATGCTATTTTTATGGAATGCACGATATCTATTTTATCTAAATATATTGATGGGAAAATGATTTAAAGAAAGGCGGATAATGGTCAAGCACATTTCATAATGTTGATGGCCCATCTATGGAATAGATGACTCAGATCTCTCACCCTACAAGTCACATTGATCAACGGTATAGATTCAATCTCATGAAAGAGGCAAACTATGGGAAACCCTGAAGAAACCCTAGATCTTATTTTCTCTATAAATATGAGAGTTCTTTCCCATCTCTAAAAAAAAATTAACCTCTCTCTCTCTCTCTCTTCGAGGGACACCCCTCACTCTCTCCTTTGAGTTTCTCTCTCTAAGCCTCTTTGTCCTCAAGTTTCAAAAGAGGGCCACGCCCCAACTCTAGCTACTACTCTTTTTCTCTCTAGATTTAAGAAGAAACTAAGGTTTGTAGAAATTAGAGGGAAGCCTAAGTTATTTTTGGAGGTTAAGGTTTTGTGGAGAATTAAGGTGGTGACATAGTTTGGCTAAAATTTGCTTTCTCGATTCGAGATTGAAGCTAGACCGCAGATCCCGCGCCATTGGATATGAGAACTCGGTGTGGGGTGTAAGAAGCCCGGTTGAGGTAATCTCCAGCATCTTTATCTTATACTTACTTGTTCTTTATTTCATATTCTCAAGCATCGTATTAGGTTGTATCAATGACATCAAGTAGTTGAGTTTTATTTTGTTGTTATGGTATTCTATTTTAGAATATCTACTGATTGTAGTAAGACCATCTGTTAATGATCTTGTTGCTAAAAAGATAAGGGGTTATTATTATTATTATTATTATTAAAAAATATATATATTATAATTCCCCGACAAAAGATTACATAGGTCTTTTTTTTCAAGAGGCTCCACTTGAAAAACTATTCATCAAACCCAGATACTGCTAATGTTGACAACACCTTGGAGCAAGACTTCAATGCAATCAAATAAGCATAAATTCTATCTAGATACTTAAAGGCAGACGCTAGTCGGTCTAAAAACATGGACTCAGGGCAGAACTTACCAGCATCTTCATCTGAATGAAGCAACAAGACTCGGGAGAGTCTCAAACAAACACCAAAAATGTAAATAATAGAAATGCCTAAGAGTCTTGAGATTAGGGCTGTCAATGGTCCGGGCCGGGCCTTGGGCTTGGCTGGGCCATTTTCAGGCCTGATCCGGGCCAGTCACAAGCTTTGGCGCAGGCCCGGTTCGGTTCACAAAAATAGCACTCTTTATCGGGCTGGTCCGGCCCGTTGAACCCGAAAAATAATTTGGCCTGACCCGATTTGGCGCGGCCCATTTAGACTTCCACTCTCTCTATAAAACCTTTTTTCTCACCCCACCGCCCCCTCTCTTTCTCTAAAAGGCCATTCTCTCTCTGTGCACCCAATCTCTTTTTTTCTCCCTCTAAAAACCCATTATCCCTAAAACCCAATCTCTCTCATTCTCTCTAGAAACCAATCTCTTTCTCTCTCTAAAAACTATTCTCTCCCTCTCTAAAAACCCAATCTCTCTCTAAAAATCCATTCTCTCTCTAGAAACCAGCCCCAAAACAAAGAGAGATGGCGGATGGAAGAGATTGTGCATTCGAGATGAGGAGAGAGATGGCTGATGGATAAGATTGAGCGTTCAGCTGAGGAGAGAGGGGGCAAGTAGAGCTGCCAATGGTTCAGACCGGGCCGTGAATACCACCTTCTTCTTTTTAAGTTATAGATACCACAAATTACATTGAAATATTAAATTTTCCTAAAAACAATTTTAGCATATGGTTTTTTTTTGGCTTAATAGAAACAAGAAAAGTTTGAAGAGTGAGATAAAATGTGAAAAAAAAAAAAAAAATCTTAATGGACAGGGCAAGGCCGGGCTTTAATACTGCATATTTGGGCCAGGCCGGGCGTTCCGATCACAATGTCTGGGTCTTGCCGGGACGAAGCATTTGTCAGGCTTTAGCATGGGCCCTGCCTGGTGGTAGCCCTACTTGAGATACACATCCAAGGCAGAGATTCGTTCCTAGGTGGATTTGATTCAGGAGTTTTAATCACTGGATGCTATAACATAGCAATGTTACACCCTACAAGTATCTGTAAGAGAGCCTTCAAAGCTACTGGTGATTTTTTAAGAAATGTTTGTGTTGTTGTCCAATGCCTGTTTCAACTCTATTTAGGAACGCTCACTAATTCCATGACTCGAACATATTATGAGGAGATATAGTGCCCTAAGCATCATACCCATAAAATTGATTGGACTTTTGAAATAGAAGATTTATGATTTTCCTATCTAGAGTTACAATCTTGACTTGACCTTGTCTTTGACATTTTCACGGAAAATAGTGATTTGAAGTAAGAACTCTAGTGCTGCAAAGGCATTCGCTTAACAATCTATTACAGGGATCACAACCTCTAACCAGACTCCAAATGCTGAGATGTGGACATTGTTTACCCAAAGGCCTAAACTACCAAGGAAGCTACTATAAAGCACTTCCTGCTGTCAAATGTTTTTAAGTGGAACACAACACAACTATCAGAATGTGCGGTATGTTTGCACAACACAAATCTCTAGACAAATGATAGAGACATGATAAAACATGAAGGAAATGACATCATGGTAAGCTGGAACTTGGCAGGAAACTATAATGACAAGCAAATGAGTAGGAGATAGCTCAGGCCACTAAGATATCAACCTAGGTGAAGTGAACTCGATGAGTTCGATGAGCTAAGCAACTGAAAGTCCCTTTGATAATGCCTTTTCCCTTTCTTCACCTCTTCCTCCCTATAGACAGATGTCGAACTTAAGAACACTTCCTCATTTTCTGTATTTGTTGAGAGTATTATCGACCTCATGAGCAATAACTATTATGGGCCTCACACCTATTAAGAAAAAATGCCACAGTAACTATTGCCCCATGCCCCTTATGGAAAACTCCATGTGGTGATAACCATGCACTTTTAGCAATGCAAATCTATTCCAAATTTGTATAGTATCTTTCTACATCTAGATGATTTTCCTACTGTAATATATATACATGCTAGTTGTAACCTGCATGAATGTTCACTTATATAGTAACTCTCATGAGGATACATGTGAAGATGTAGGGCACATTGCCCCATGATTGAAACAAGGTGAACAGCATCTATATTACCCAGTTGTGGGCTTGGATTTTTTTTTTTTCCCCTCTTATCTCAATCTTAACAGTATTTATTTGTATTGTTTCATGTTTATATTATGTCCAGCAAAATTGACGACATTAATGTTAAATGTCCTAGGGCAGATTTGTACTTTGTACAACATTTGTATCTTGTACAAATCCCCTACGTCCATAAATGTGCTGGGCATAAAACATTACGTAAAAGAGTACAAGAGAACAGATATGGAGGACAAATGTGCTCTCATGTGTAACATAGATCTATACTCCCATTTATTGCCCAAAACGTCGCATGGAATCCTAACCATCCGCTAGGTAGGCATTCAACATTGTGACCTATATTGTTAGCTAGTTTAATTGAAGGTTTGGGCATCCCCTTTCACACGGTATTTAACAGATCCTTAGTGGGAATCCCAATCTGCAAGCTTAGGATTGTGGAAATGAAAATTTTACTTAACACCTTTTCCAAAATAAAGGAAAGATTTCTCTCTCATATATAGGCACATGAATGGCCAGCTTGTAAGTAGGGAGTTTCCAAGTTCACTCAGTTTTGAGAGTTTATGTTGTTCACTAACATCTTTGAAGTTTGCATTTGTGCATTGCAATGCAAAGGGAAAGAGGGTGCCCTTAATGGTTGCTCACATCTAGTAGTTTTGTTCATCACAAGTGTACCCCCAATGTATAAGAAAACCAAGAAAATTAATATGTGGAGTGCTCAAATAAAAATTGCACCAATCTTAGGCCGCAACTATCACAATCACAGTTCTTAATGAACACAAAGTGTGAACTACACAGTTGAAATGAAAACATAAAACTAAATCAAGGAATGCTTAGACAAAGATGATCAGTCATGGGCGGCTTTAATATCTTAAACTAACTGTCTGTGAACTAAGATAAATGACTTTATAACTTCTAGGGGATAGGAACTTCAAAAATTTCACCAATGCAAATTATTCACAAATAATTTTTTTTATAACAATAGCGTCATCATGCTATGTTACAACATTCTGATCAAGTAATAGAAACTTGCTCCCAAATTACCCAGGATTTAACAAGAAAATCAACATTGAAAATGTTGTACGTTCTTTCCAAGACTCAATTCCTCTTTTGATAGGACAATGTATATCAGTTGAAGGTGAGGAAACCAATTGCAATATTCAAGGTTTAATTCTACTAAAGCATTTCTAAATCTCCAAGCTCAAATGATTCTAAAACAAGGTTCTAGAGTTCTACAGAGTAGAAGGCACCCATGAAGCAGGGTGGGTGTATCTCTTTTCTCTTTTATCCAAATAGAGAAATTCGCATGGAGCCTAATATAGAAATGAAAACAACCTTACCTTACTATGTACTCCTTAAGGTGACCATATGGTTCGAACGCAAGCTCAAAGTGACTGAATGTCATTATTATCAGTGATCAGTAACTATGAAATTTTTCTCCTACGGGTGAAGGGCCCTAACACTGCTTCCACACAGTCAAATATTGGGTTATCTAAGCCACCAGATGGCTGAATAGAATCCCCATCCCTCTAGCCAATATCTAAATGGAATACACCTAATTGTCATCTGATCAAGTTTAGAGCATGCATTAACCAATACAACTTTGAGAAGATTTTCTAGCGAAATATCCCTTAACCGCGGCATATAATTGTTTTATAAATTTATATTTTCTAAAAATCAGCTCCATGCAAAATGTTCTATAGCAGGTCATAACCACTTTTTCCCAGGTTGTAAATCCCTCCAAAATGAGGTGTTCAAGAAAATAAAGACTTTCTCATAGGCATGCTTGGTGGTCGCTAAATCAAACTTGCAATAATATACAAAAGACAAGACATTTTAGTCATGGCAAGAACTTTTGGGCGAATATACCAGGTATCTTATATGCATATTGAAATGCGAATTGGTACTTGGCTAGAGTAACAGATTCCATTATCAGTCATTCTTACATATCATCTTTCACAAAGCTTTTTGTGCAGTGTTGATATTATGAAGAGAGAAAAATTAAAAGGGGTGTAACTTTATACATAAATAATAATAACATAAAAAAGAAATGCATTTGCCAAATTTTGATTTGAGAAAAGGAAACGCAGATGAATTTAGGGTAAGTTGTAAATCGATCACTGATTGATCTTTGGATCTAAATTCCAAAAGAGAAAACAAATAGGAACCTTCAAATACATTATTAAGAATACAAATATCTTCTGAATAACAAATTATTCTCCAAAAATAAAAAACCAGAAATTATTGCTGCAAATGGTAGAAGGTATTACCTTGACAGTAGCAAAGGTCAAATTATTGGCGTACCTCCTGGTGTAGCTGCAAAAACATGAGCCGAGAGAGAGAGAGAGAGTCAGATAATAACCTATGTATCTTTAGAATAGATAAAACCCATGCATCAATTGGAATGGAGAAATGGGGAAGAAGCTTACCCTGCAACTTGGCCATCAACCACCCAAGCTCTCCAATCATCAATGATGGGGAACTCAAGAGATCTTATCCAAGCTTGAGTACCAATAAATGGAACTTTAGCATCGTGATCTCCACTGAAACATTACCAACTAAAGAATCAGTTACACTGCTTGGAAGTTTCAATTAAACCTGGATGCCCCTAAAAAACCAATCTTGCAGATGGATTGATTGAGGACCAAAAAATCTGCAGATCCATCCTCACCTCCATCATTATCAGTCTGAAGAACAAAAAAAGGGACAGATTTCGAGCCCCAAAAGTGGACCAACCATCTTGTCCCTCTTCTTACGAAACCATCCATTTTGGAAAACAGTACATACTTCGATTTGGAACATTTTAGGACCTCCAAATTTAAGATTTGGAAGTGATTTCCAAGCATCTAGGAGATTCAAGTTCTCAAGCTCTTCAGATTCCGAATCATTTTCATGATCCGAAACAGCTGGCTAAAAGATTCGTGTTTTTTAGATTGATGTCCGTACGAGGGGACTGCACGAAAAGATATTCCGATTGTATAGGAATCATGATTCTTACCCAAATAGAATAGAGATCCCCTCATACATGGAATCACGATTATGCCGTCTTTTAGAATCGAGTTTGACCCATATGGAATCAAAGATTGTTTTTTAAATGGGGTCGAGATTTCGATATCTTTTAAAATTGAGTTTTTTATGTGATTCTTCTCGTATGTTTCGAATTGTTCATTTTCTAGTTCAGGGCTCTATATTTGTGTCTTTAATTTGATAAAGAGAGTATCTTCGTATATGGACTCCAAATTCAAGTAATGTAGATTGCAAAATCGAGATTCAACAAACGTTTGTTGAAGTACTTTCCCAAATGAAATACCCTAAGTTTCTCTTTAAAAGGTAAATATAAAAGGGCAAATTGCAAAAACCGTTTCAAAATGTACTTTTTACGCCCTTTACCCTACTCAAACATACTCAACGTTTCAGGCAACTTCCCACAAAAATCATGTCTTCTAACAAATACCTCCTATACAAGAAGTTAAATTTTTTTTTTTTATAAAAATACCCCTCTCTTTAGTAAGAAATCATTTTTGGATCCCAATAAAAGGAAAATGACGGACCGCACTTGTACAACGCCGGACTGTTCACTTCAAAACCCCAAACCGCTACTTCAAAACGCCAGACCGGCCCTTCAAAATGCCGGACCGCCATATCAAAACGCCTGACTGCCCCTTCAAAAAATGTCGGACCGCCATCATGAAATGCCGGACCAGTCATTCCAGTAAAAATAATCGTCGGACTGCCTGTTGAAAATGCCGGACCGCCCTTTCCAATGAAAATAATTTATGTGAGGGAACCGTATTTTCATCCAAAAAAAAAGAACTTTTGTATGGGGTATTTGCTAGGAAAAGTTGGGTGGGGTGAAGTGAGTAAAAAGTCCATTTTGGGGGATATTTGCAATTTTTCTAATATAAAAAGGAAAAAGTTCACATAACGCATCAACCTTACAGAGTTTACTTCAAAATCCATCTGTAAAGGTTGTTCTGATGTCGAAAATCCTATAATTGATTATCTTGACTTATACATATATAAATATAAAAAAAAGGAGATTTAAAGTCTTAAAAGTAGTACATCTTGGAATATATTATCTAGACCGTCCATTTTCAAAATTTAAAAGTGTTTATAAAACTACTCGATATATACTATTAGGATATGATATTCTATAAGTATTGGAGTTGAGATTCTTAAAATAAGGAATCGAGATTCCTGAATTCACATAAATGGATTCCGTAAAGATTCCTTTTCAATAATTGAAGAATTGGGATTCTATTGGAATCACGACCTTGGGAGCAAGATTCTGGTAACTATGCTCAAAAGTTGAACCATATAATGCTCTATGACAAAAAAAGAAAAAAAGTCATTTTGGGATTCAAAAAAGTATAGCACCATTTTTGGGGCTTAAGAAACAAATTTTACATAAAAAATTAAAAAACATCATAGTTTTTTCTTATTTCTCAAGATCAGCCTCTTTACTTATATTCATCCCTTGTTTCAAAATTTCAAGATTCTCGTCACAAGTATCGTTAAAACACTATTTCAGCCAACATCCAAATTCTAGTGAAATTCGTAACGACAGTGGCCACCAAGGTGGAAACTATTTTTGATTTCCAATTTTTATATAACCTATGTTTTTGTGCTTTTGTTCCCAAATAATTACTCAAACAGGAAAAGGCAACGTGTGGGTACCTATAAATGAGAGCTGAGTAGCTTCTCATGGTCAAATTATGGTGATAAAGAACAGAGCTTTTAACATCTGCTTTAAAAGTGATACCAAAGTTGCATCTTTTCCAATCTTCTACAGTTCCCTGAACACCAGAACAAAATAACCATTTGGTTACCAAGAAGCATGCTATAGGATTTTCTAATGCTGCACGAACATTGGCTCATACTTTTGTTCATCTGAAATGAGAGTACAAAAATGAAAGACAAGGTCATAGAATCAGTAAATTATTATTTGATATAAAATTTACTTCTTGACTTTGTACTGAGAGTCTAATACAAAAGCAGAAACTAAACTCAAAGGTTCAAAAATGGGGGCAGGAGAGAGAAACAGTTTTTCTCACAACAGATCCACAAAAGTAATATATTCTGGAATTTTGGACCATGTGGCGGTAGGCAAGGTCCAATTACTTTGGCTGAGTCGATTTTCTGCTCTAATTGCACTTTTATTACATGTGCCTAGATTCCCTTATTACTTGTGCTACTCTATGTACATTCAACCATATTGAAATGAAAAAAATACATCACAATAGATAACAAAAACAATGACGAGGAATGGGTTGCTGCCCCATTCTCACAAAAACAAACTCAAAATGAACTGTGAGAATGGTCTAGGATTACCTCCAAGGACTTTATGTACCCATCGATCTTCCTTGATCGGTGGCATATCATAACTAGGGCAAAGTTCTTTTCAATTCTTACAGCCCTCATTACTTCTTTATTATCATCAAGTGGAAGAGTAGTGGAGACGACTTTGCCTTCTACTAAGAGATTTTTAAGGTGAGAAAGGCTTTTTAATTTGAACCCTTCAATCTTCGATCAGCCATCATGAATTAAGAATGAGACTTTGACCGTTACCTCTAGTTGCCCTTTTACCAAACTCTTTAAAAAAGAAAAAATGTTATTTTTTCTACTTCAAAAAGAATTCATACCATTTTTCCCATTCTCTCTGAATTCATATCTTTCTAAAAGTCATTCCTTCTCAAAGAGACCAATCCTTCTTCTAAAATAATTCTTATTAACTGTTTTATTTCAAATGGAGATTTGAAAAGAGAAAAGATAAAAAAATATAGGGAATATCCAAACCCTTTTATGTATTAGTTTCATAAAAATAATGAAATCTCTCAAACAAATTAAATAACTAAAAGAAAACAATTTCATGTGGGCTGGACTGCATTTCTACATATGCGGTCCAAAAAGTGTAAAGCATCCATCTTAAAGATAGATGCAAGTCGGTGTTCCATCTAAAAATAATGGAAACTAACGGTCCAAATGTTTTTTCACTAGAATTATTTTTTTATTTTTTAAAATTTATTTATTTTTTTCACATTCATGATCTCCATGTTAGAGATTCCATATTCTCAAAAATTAAGTCTTAAAATCTATCTAAAAAATAGTTTTATTAAGGAGCCCGGATTTCTACATATATGGGCTTGGCTCCATAGAAAGCCGGTCCATAACTAAAAGAGGGCTTAGTGTTAAGTGGGACCCATCGCCTATAGGGCCCATGTGTTGCACATGAATCGCGAACACATGTATGCCCAATGTGGTCCACATGTTGCTGAAGTGAGAGGAGAAAAATATAATAAAAATTTAACTCTACATTGATTCACCTCTTCTTGAGAGCACAAAAACTATAATTTTGTGGCTCTAGAGAAAAGTAAAACATAATTAATCTCTGGGTAAAAGTGTAAATATGAAGCACTTAAAAATATAAGGACAACATGAAAGAGTGAGTGTGCCATGGGATGACACAGCACTTATTACAAGGCATCTCATATATGGTAACCATGAATTCACGTTCTACCTCCCAAACTTTCTTTTTGGGTAAAAAAAATTGATTGGGCTGAGAAAATCTACCTCTTAAACCAAGAGAGCCCATAACCCATGTATCTCTTCTATAAGGGCTTGTTATAGGCCCATCAAAGTTAGCCGACATGAAAATAGAGTATAAGGTTATTATGGATATCAGCCCCCTCCCCCAAAGGACAAGACATCTCACCTAGACATATACACAACTTAATGGTGTGGGGGTCCTCTCTCAGCACAAGCATACATAAACAGCCTAAATTCCCGAAGTCGTATAGGTGGTGCATTAAGGTTTTGGTCCTTGCTCTCACAACTGTTAGCATCCTTATACAAGAGTACTCACTCCTCTTGACTCATTGGGCATTCATATCTTTGTCAATTGAAGGGGTGGCTTAAATTTCTACCACCTTGGCCCCATGAAGGTCACCTCTGTAGGGATCTCGAGAACCCCTTAGCTTGCAGAACCGTGAATCCTAAATATCGAGAACCCACCCAAGATCGTGTACTCAATTGGCTAAATGCGAAGTAGATGAATACAACAATAAATCGAGTGCGAAAAATAAAACAAACATAAAAAGCACACCACGGCATCGACAACTAGAAATTCATTATCACAATGAATATTACAGTTTTGAATTACAAAAGATAATATTTATCTCTAAACATTAGGTAAAAGACCATCACCGATTTTTCTTTCTAAACCCGCTCGAGCGATACTGTCGATCAACATCCTCTTTCCCACCGCAATACCGTTATTGGAAAGATAACCTTGAGAGCAACCGAGAGACTTTTTCTCTTTAAAACTAAAAATTAACCAACTCAAAACTCATGAGAATACCGCCTCTCTCTCAAAGGCCATGTCTCTCTCTCTTTGAGACACACCTCCATATTGGAGATCTAATCTCTCAACCCCCAAGGGGGTGACCTTCAAAAGGATATGGATATTATGTTTTCCTTGATTCCTTTTATAGAGATTACCTTGAGTTTATTTTTTGCTCCCCAAGAAACCCCTTCATTTTTTTTCATATAACCCTTAATCTTTTAATAAAAGATAGGTATGGTGATTTTGACAGCCTCACTTCCCCTTTACTACTTTCGATATTAATGTTGTCGGGACCTTGTGAGTTATCATTCTATGAAGCTTAAGGTTGATGGAAATGCCATGTGAATTATGATGATTTGATATCCAAATGAGATCTAATTTTGCTGTCTAATTTTTTTTTTCAATTAGAAAAAAAACTTAAACATCCATGTTGGGTTTGGTAATAGCTAAATCACCATACCTATATTTTCTTCAAAAGATTGGGGTATTATGAGAAACATAAAATTAACTTTCTTGGGAAGTATCTTTATAAGAGAGTAAAGGAGGACATAATACCATCATTTGAGGGTCATCCCTTTGGGGGTTATGAGCATGGATCTCCAATATGGAGATGAGTCTCCAAGAGAGAGATATAGCCTTTGAGAAATGGGCAGTATTCCCATGAGTTTTGGATTGGTTAACTTCCACTTCTAGAGAGAGAAAATCTCTATATTATTCTCGAGGTTATCTTTTCAGTAGTGATAATGCGGTGGGAAAGATGATGTTCATCGACGGTGTTACTCGGTCAGGAGAGCGGGTTTAGAAGAGAAGATCTGTGATGGTCTTTTACTAATGTTTAGAGATAGATATTATATCTTGTAACCCAAAACTGTAATAGTGGATTTTTAGTTGTCGAAGCCGTGGATGTAGTCCCACAGAGTGAACCACGTAAATCGTGTGCTGTGTGTTGTTGTGATGTGCTTTTTATGTTTGTTTTATTTCTCGCACTCGATTTATAACTGTATTAATCTACTTCACAATTAGTCAATCATGTACACGATCTTGGATGGGATCGCGGTGTTTGGGATTCCCGATTTCGCAAGCTAGGGGTTCATGAGAACCCTACAATTAGTATCAGAGCATAAGGTATGTACGGGGCTAAGGCTTGCATTAAGAAAATGATGAATAGTGGAGTTTGATGGTTACTTGGTTTGGGGTAGAGAAGTATGAAGGTAAAGTGTTTGTGAAAATTTCATAATGGAGGCAAATGAGAAGAAATCAAGAAATATTCATGGTTTGAGGTGGAGAATATGAAAGCAAAGTGTTTGTGAAAATTCTACAATGGAGGCACGTATGAAGAAATCAAGAAATCTATTCAATGAAGATGTCAAGGCAATTATAGTGATTTTGCGATCAAGGTGGAGATTGTTGGGTTTGGTGATAGCTAAATTACCATATCCATATTTTTTTCTAAAGATTAGGGTATTATGGGAAATAGAAAATTAACTTTTTTGGGAAGTATCTTTATAAGAGAGTAAAGACGGACATAATACCCATCCTTTGAGGGTCACCCCTTTGGGGGTTATGGAAATGGATCTTCAATATAGAAATAGGTCTCGAAGAGATAGAGATATGGCCTCTGAGAGAGGGACGGTATTTCCCATGAGGCAAGTGAGAAGAAATCAATAAATCCATGGCTTGAGGTGGAGAAATATGATGGCAAACTGTTTGTGAACATTCCACAATGGAGACAAGTATGAAGAAATCAAGAAATCTATTCAATGAAGATTGTCAAGGCAAGTATGGTGATTTTGCTATCAATGTGGAGATTGTTGGGTTTGGTGATAGCTAAATCACCATACCCATATTTTCTTCTAAAGATTAGGATATTATGGGAAATAAAAAATTAACTTTCTTGGGATGTATCTTTATAAGAGAGTAAAAGATGACATAATACTCATCATTTGAGGGTCACCCCTTTGGTGGTTATGGGAATGGATCTCCAATATGGAGATGGGCCTCCAAGAGAGAGAGATATAGCCTCTGAGAAGAGGCGGTATTCCCATGAGTTTTGGGTTGGTTAACTTTCACTTCTAGAGAGATAAAATCTCTATATTGCTCTCGATGTTATCTTTTTAATAGCGGTATAGTGGTGGGAAAGAGGATGCGGATCGACGGTGTTGTTCGATCGGGAGAGTGCGTTCAGAAGAAAAGATCGGTGATAATCTTTTATTGATGTTTAGAGATAGGTATTATCTCTTATAACTCAAAACTGTAATCTTCATTGTAATAGTAGATTTCTAGTTGCCTAGGTCGTGGATGTAGTCCTACGGGGTGAACCACGTAAATCGTGTGTTGTTGTGATGTGCTTTTTATATTTGCTTTATTTCTCGCACTCGATTTATAGTTTTATTCATCTACTTTACATTTAGTCAATCATGTATACGATCTTGGGTGAGATCCCGGTGTTTGGGATTCCTAGATCCGTAAGCTAAGAGTTCATGAGAACCCTACAGTCCAAACAAAAAAAAGTATGTTTTGATGCATGCTAGGAAACAGTCAAATCAAACTCACCTTCTTCACGTGGAGCGCCTCTCCAACCCTCTCATCATTTGCCCAATAATGGGAAAGTATATAGCCATATTCCTGCATAGCATTTTGAGAATGTAAAATAACAACATAGAAGTAAAAGAACCTGATAGAAAATCCGTAGTTATGTTGTGTGCATTAGATAAAGAGAGATAAACTCAATTTGTGGATGTAAGAATCTGATAGAAAATCAGTAATTATGGTGTGTACATTAGATAAAGAGAGAGAAACTCAATTTTTAGGTGTATAGCAAAGAGAGAGGTAGAGGGTACCCTGTGTAAAGTATAAGAGAGCAAGAGAGAAGGGTCATCATCATTTTAGCTTTTTTTAATTAATTGGGTCTCTTTCTCTATTCTTCTCTTAAATGTCATATCCTAAGTGAGGCTATAAGTCTCCATATAAGATTCATGATGTGTTTTGACAAAATTTTATACTCACTACCTACCTAACACAACAATGCCCGTTTACTTGAACATGGATAGGTTAATAAAAAGTTCAAGATCACTGCTCTTCTTAAACCAAGAGTACCCTACAAAATATAAGAGAGAGAGGGGGTACCCTGCAAACTATAGGAGTTGATTGGAGATGTATGTCAGAGGATTTATCATCGAGCCATCTCCTCAGTCCTGTTCCTATTTCTAGTCTTGGTCTTGGAGAAGCAAAAGGGCATGATGGCTCCAAAATGTGGACTTCATTAATTCTTGAAAGGCACTGCAAATACACAATCATTGCCCTTCTTAGCTACCATTATTGCTTTCTATAATAATATGATCCAAGAAAAAAGGGATGCAAATAAATAGACTTACTTCTTGCACAGCTTGCATGTTTAAATTACACTGCGAACCTTTTGGGTGAGCATAATTGCCATTGCAACTTATCTTGGTGGCCTGCAAGTCACTCGACAGGCTCTTAAAATTTACTCCATATATATCTTCAATCATATCAACACAATACTTTAGGCGCCGTTTGGATACTTAAAATATGGAGACACCCACTTTATAAGAAACAATTAATTCCACCAAAATACCCTTAAGAATTAGAGAGAAACTATATCTAATTTTAGAAAGAGAAACTACTTAAAAAATTTTAGAGAGAAAAACTATTTTAATTTTAAGCTTGAGAGAGAAAATATCTTGAAATTTTAGAGAGAGCAATTATATCAAAATTTAAAGAGAGAAGTACTTAAAAAGGTTTTAGAGAGAAACTATATCAAACTTTTTACCAGAGAAACTATTTCCAATTTTAAGTTCTAGAGAGACACAATATCTTTAAATTTTGGAGAAATGAACTATATCAAATTTAAGAAAGCAAAGTACCTAAAAAGCATTTAGAGAGAAACTATCTCAACATTTTTAGAGAGAGAGACTATCTCAAATTTTAAGTTTTAGTAAGAAAAATTATCTCAAAATTTTTAGAGAGAAAAACTATCTCAAATTTAAATTTTTATAAAGAGAAAATACTAGAAAATTCTTATAGAGAGAGAAACTATCTCAAATTTTCAGGTTTATAGAGAGAGTGCTTGAAAATTTTTAGAGAGAGAAACTATTTTAAATTTTAAATCTTACATAGAGAAACTATATGAAATTTGAAGATTTAAAAAGAGAAAGTACCTGAAATTGTTTGGAGAGAGAAACTATTTCAAGCTTTTTAGAGAGAGAAAGTTTCTCAAATTTTCGTTTTAGAAAGACAATGTACCTGGAAATTTTTTGAGAGAAACTATCTCAAAACTTTTAGAGAGAGAAACTATCGTAAATTTTGACAGTTCGAAAATGCATTACAAGATACACTATTTCCAAGACTTGAAATTCATTTTTTCTCGTATACATACATCTTGAGAACAAGAATATTCATTTGAGGATTTTTGGATATCGAAACATCTAGTGAATATTTGAGATAAGTCTTAATTTTGTCACAGATATCTAAAAAAATTATCATATGGATATAGAACTTGACCTTTCTAAAGATCTGTACCAAATTTAATGGTGTTCCTTTGGGGTCCTACACACATGGGTGTGGGAGAGTCTCACAAGGTCATTTCCCCTATATATTATATATATATATATATATATATATATAGTCGGTAGGGACGACGACGCACGACGGAAGGTAGTGAG